ATAGCTCACTCACAGCTAACTCACAGCTCACTCACAGCTCACTCACAGCTACAGTGAGGGAAAAAAGTATTTGATCCCCTGCTGATTTTGTACGTTTTCCCACTGACAAAGAAATGATCAGTCTATAATTTTAATGGTAGGTTTATTTGAACAGTGAGAGACAGAATAACAACAAAAAAATCCAGAAAAACGCATGTCAAAAATGTTATAAATTGATTTGCATTTTAATGAGGGAAATAAGTATTTGACCCCTCTGCAAAACATGACTTAGTACTTGGTGGCAAAACCCTTGTTGGCAGTCACAGAGGTCAGACGTTTCTTGTAGTTGGCCACCAGGTTTGCACACATCTCAGGAGGGATTTTGTCCCACTCCTCTTTGCAGATCTTCTCCAAGTGATTAAGGTTTCGAGGCTGACGTTTGGCAACTCGAACCTTCAGCTCCCTCCACAGATTTTCTATGGGATTAAGGTCTGGAGACTGGCTAGGCCACTCCAGGTCCTTAATGTGCTTCTTCTTGAGCCACTCCTTTGTTGCCTTGGCCATGTGTTTTGGGTCATTGTCATGCTGGAATACCCATCCACGACCCATTTTCAATGCCCTGGCTGAGGGAAGGAGGTTCTCACCCAAGATTTGACGGTACATGGCCCCGTCCATCGTCACTTTTATGCGGTGAAGTTGTTCTGTCCCCTTAGCAGAAAAACACCCCAAAGCATAATGTTTCCACCTCCATGTTTGGCGGTGGGGATTGTGTTCTTGGGGTTATATGCAGCATTCCTCCTCCTCCAAACACGGCGAGTTGAGTTGATGCCAAAGAGCTCCATTTTGGTCTAATCTGACCACAACACTTTCACCCAGTTGTCCTCTGAATCATTCAGATGTTCATTGGCAAACTTCAGACGGGCATGTATATGTGCTTTCCTGAGCAGAGGGACCTTGCGGGCGCTGCAGGATTTCAGTCCTTCAGGGCGTAGTGTGTTACCAATTGTTTTATTGGTGACTATGGACCCAGCTGCCTTGAGATCATTGACAAGATTCACTCACAGCTAACTCATAGCTCACTCACAGCTAACTCATGGCTCACTCGCAGTTCATTCATAGCTCACTCACAGCTCACTCATAGCTCACTCACAGCTAACTCATAGCTCACTCACAGCTCACTCATAGCTCACTCACAGCTAACTCATAGCTCACTCACAGCTAACTCATAGCTCACTCACAGCTCACTCATAGCTCACTCACAGCTAACTCATAGCTCACTCACAGCTAACTCACAGCTAACTCATAGCTCACTCACAGCTAACTCATAGCTCACTCGCAGTTCACTCACGGCTCACAGCTCATTCACGGTTCACTTAGTGCTCACTTAAGACTCACTCAAGGACCACTCACACCTTACGGCTCACACAGCTCGTTCACAGCTCACTAACGGTTCCCTCAGGCCACACTTAAGGCTGACTCGGCTCACTCACTGCTCTCATGGCTCACTCACGGCTCATGGTTCACTGAGGGCTCACCAACTGGAGGCCCTCGTGAATATCGCACAGGGAGCCCCACAGACGGTGTGCATCGGCACGCACGTACGTACATGTGTGTGCGTGTATCTGTTTGCGCATGCGTGCATGTGCAGATGTGCGTGTGTGTGCGCGGCGTGCGTTGTGTTCTTGCGCTGTGTGCAGCCTCTCTGCTGAAGAGTACCGCGTGTTCCTGGAGGAGCGAGAAGTGTTCATCAAGAAGAGGGAGGAGGAGGACCAGGCGGCAGCTGCTGAGGCTCTGCAGAACTTGCGCAAAAAGTAGTCCCATGTGGACACTGACTAGATTCCACCCAACCCAATCTCAACTAACTTTACCAATGTTCTGAACTGACCTTACCTGTTCTAGATTTGAAGCTTTCGTGACTGCAAGGATCCATACTCTTTGGTTCTATTCGGTAAAGTCACGTAGGTGACTTTACCGAATTGTGGCCGAAACGTCGTGATTTTTGTTGTTTTTATTTTTTACCTACGTGACCTTACCTGACCTGATCTTTGAGGCATCCTTCCACTGACATGACCTGATTTAAACTGACCCTAGCTGACCTTAGCTAACCTCAACTGAATCCACCAGACTTGTGCTCACACTGACCTGATACAGACATCTAGAGCTGACCTTTCACTCCCTGACGTGTGTCCTGACCTGTCTTTCCTCCAACCTGACCTCACCCAAATAAACCTGGACTAAAATCTAACCAGGACAAAGTAATTTTCCCGACCTCAACCAAAGTTCACCCGACCGTAAGCCGCCCGCGGACCTGGCCTAACCCAGCCCGCCTAGCAGGGGGCCGCATTGCGTTCGGTGGGAATGGGTGCCGTGGTGTTTTTGCTCAGTGTTATCGCTCCGTGCTTCCTGCAATCGTCGTTGTCGTCCTCACTACGGATGTAAAATCACTCCTGCCCCGCCCCCCCCCCCCGTCTGAAGGCCTCCCCCCCCCCCACCCCATGGTGTGTTGGTTGTGGGAGTTTGTTCGGCCGTGCTTCTTCACTCCGTGCGGGTTGTTGAAGGGTTGTTGGGGTGGGGGGGGGGGCGCAGGAGCGGTTCAGATATCGCTCGCTGCCGACACACTGCGCTCTGGGTGCAGAGCGCAGTGTGTCAATGGTGGCGCCACCGAAACCCGCCGTCCGCCCCCCTCCACAGTCCCCCCAGTGAATGCTGCAGCCGTGTGTGTGTGCGCGTGTGTGTGTGCGCGTTATCAGCAGTAGTGTCGCGGTTAGCGCGCCACGCTACGAACCCTGGCGACTCGAATTCGATTCCCGCTCACAGACATCGGTGACGATTATCTGAACCGGTCCAGGGCATCCCCTCGGTCGAACTCGCCATTAAATGAGTACCTGGTGCAGTGTGTAAACATCGCCACTCGGGAGACAAAGGCGACCGGGCGTGGTACTGCCACCCACCCCCTCGTGTACCCTGCCTGCCTTCATAGGTGCTACACGCTAACAGCGCTTGCCCCGACAGTCTGTTAAGGTTACACGGGGGATCTTTGTCTATCAGCGCCCAGGTCATTTTGTACGCAAGCAGTTGCACTCCCGCGGCGGCGGAGTTGGTCGTGACGTTTTGAAGCGGATGTGAACGTTCATCGCAAAACCCAAAACAAATAAACGTTTTCGACTCCTACGGACGGAGGTGGGCGGGTGGCTCCGGGTGGGCGGGTGGCTCCGGGTGGGAGGCACCGCGGGCAGCAGACCCCGAGCCGGCACTGCTGGGGGCATGGGTTCAAATCCAGGTTCTCGTCGCCCGATCACTGAACTCGGTCGTCAAGCGTAGTAGCGAGTTGATGAGGGTCCTCAACTCGGTCACCACCAATGACTGCACACACACACACACAAAATAATCAAGTGCGAGTTTTTCACTTCATTTGGCAAACTTTCAGCGCTGAGAATTAGACATTTTGGTTTTATTTACATGAAGCACTGTTTGCAGAGCATGCAAATAAGAATAAAGGCCTGCATAGTATGAGTAAAGAGGCCGACTTAAGGGAATTTAGTAATTACGTGACATCAACGTTCAAGCGCTGCTGTCTGACACGAGGTGATATACTGCTTGCTTGATTGCTTACTGCCAACGTTCTATGTATAATTGTATTTGACTCATGACATGACACAGATGGCACAAGTGGAATAAACTGGGGAAAAAACTGAATCAAAACAAGTTCATTGACAAATGGAACGGCACAAGGAAGTGCAGGAATGTCGGGACGGGGCTTAGAAGAGGAGTGGTGCGGACTTCACCTACCTCTCACACAGCCGCCCCACCACTCACCTGTCACCCCCTTCACATCGAGAAAAAAAGATCCCCCCCTTATAGCCGTAACAGACTGTTGGGCCAGTGCTGTTAGCGAGCACCTATGAAGGGCCTGCACGGCAACATGAGGGGTGGGTGGCAGCAGCACACGAGGTTTTCATTTAAGGCTGAGTCGACCTTGGGGAGGCCCAAGACCGGTTCAGGTATTCGCCACTTATTGGTCGTGAGCAGGAATCGGTCGTCACCCACACATCACCCACACATCACCTACACCCGCCCCACTCACATCATTTCCCCCACCACATCACACATTCACCAGCCATTACTCTCACTTCCCCAACCCACACACTCGCATCGCCCACCTCACTCACCCTCACCATACTCTCACCAGCCCATCCCACTCACCTCTCTCACCACATCACTCTCACACACCAGCCATTGTGCTCTCCCCCAACCCACACACTCACATCACCCACCTCTCGCACCCTCACTACACCACACTCTCACTAGCCCACCCCACTCATCACTCACCTCTCTCACCATATCACACTATCACTCACCAGCCCACTCACCTCTCTCACCACATCATACTATCACTCACCAGCCATTACTCACACTCCCCCAAGCCCACACGTTCACATTACTCACCTCTCACCACATTACACTCACCAGCCCACCCCACTCACGTCACTCACCTCTCACCCTCACATCACCAACCATTACTCGCACTTCCATAGCCCACACAAAGCACTCACATTCCACTCCTCCGCAATATGATTTTTTTTTTAAATCTGGTATTAGTTAAACAAAAAAGACTCGCTTATTGGCAAAAGCTTTTCTTGGGCAGACATTTGACAAAAAAAAACCTGCCCTATTTCCCTTCAAAAATACTGTGTGGCAAATCGCCAAGGTGACGCGAGGTGAATCTGACTCTACATTTGGGTCTTAGCAACAGTTTTACTGTACCAGCCAACAGAACAGAAATCACGGGTACGATTTTTTTTCAATAGAGGCCAAAAATGGATGCGTGCGTGTGTGTCGTGGTCGGGATAGCGAGAGGGATGGGCGAGTGTGCGGGGAGTGAGGGTGGTTGAATTGGGGTGTGTGTGGGGAGTGAGAAGGTGGGGGGGGTGATAGGGTGGATACGTGGGCGGGGAGCGAGAGCGTGGGTGAGAAGAGGGGGGTGGGCGGGGAGGGCCTTGAATGATGACTCTCACGGTCTGGAGTTTATCCGGGGAGGAGAGAGGGGGGGGCCTTGTTGAATTTGCGATAGTGGCGCGTTAGCGAGGGCAGGGGCTGGGTCGGCGCCTTGGCTCGATATCTCGAACGCGCCCGTGACATCCACACGTACAGTTGATGGTGCCTTCCTAAAAATAAAGTTGAGTGCCAACGGCACCCCGTGCCCTCCTCCTCCTCTGCCCGCTCCTCCCAGTGGACGCGGGCACACGAGAATTCCCTTTCCAGACAGCTCTGCTTGCAGTCCCCGGCACTCCCTAAGACCCACACTTGCCCTGGCACCAGCTGGTCTGGCACCAGCCACCACCCCCGGTCGCTGCTCGCACCCTTCACAGTATCTCGGACCCCGCGGGGCAGCTTCCAAATTTGCTCTGGGCAGAGCGGGCGCGTCGGGGATGAGAGGCGTAAACAGACGTGATATAGGTGGCACACGTGGTTTAACAGATAGTAATAGATAGTGCCGACGTATATAGGTGTAACAGATAGTGCAGATAGATAACACAGATGTAGGTACTTGCATGTAGTACCGGTGTGTATTGGTATGTTATAGTGACCGACACGAAATGAGTGGCGTATTCGTAGTTTGCCGATATAATCGTAGTTCGTACGGTGTTGAGGTGTGATGATAATGATGATAAGTTATGGGCGCACACTGAGGATCGGACGCACACAGGCTCTTTCAGACAAACATGCACAGTGCGGCAGCAACACGAGAGAGATGCGCAATATTGACACGTGCAAATTGACATACGCAGGTACAAATACGCAGGGACGCAGACCAACACAAACATCGTCCAGATCAACTCGCTAAAAGATAAAGATCCCCCGTATTACTGTATAGCCTCTTAACAAACTTTTGTAGCTAGTGCTGTTAAGCGAGCACTCGCTAAAACAGACACACAGAAAAAATAGACAGACAAGCATCAACACAGACAAACACAGCAGCGCGCGCGCACACACACACAGGGCCAATGTTATCCCGGCTCAGAGGCTCATCAGCGAGCCGCAGAGAAACCCAGCCGCAGCAGGAGGATGAGGCTGAGCGGTTGCCCGCTGCCCGGGCGCTTGCTCGGCTCTACCGCCAGCACGTGCTGCCCATCGAGCGCCGCTACGGCTTCCACGTGGCGTATCGCGCCGCCGAGCTGCGCGACGCAGAGTTCGACTCCCCGCCCACGGTGCTGCTCCTGGGCGCGCCGGCCGCGGGCAAGACCAGTCTGCTGCGCTACCTGCTGGGCGGCCCCAGCTCCCAGCAGCAGCAGTTTCTGCAGCAGCTGCAGCAGGGAGTGTTGCAGCCGGGCAGCGCCACGACCTCCGTGACCATCGTGCAGCACGGCGAGGCACCGGGGAGCGTGACGCCTGGGCACGCCTTGGTGCTGGAGGCGAACTCGGCTTTCGCGGGCTTGGCGGCGTTCGGCAGCGCGGCTATGTCCAGGTGAGTTCACGGTTGTCGCCTGTCCGGTGTTTGAATTGAATTCGTGCTGAGATTTACAGAAGTGTACAGTTGCACAGGTTTGATGGACCCGAGTGCCGATTGCAAAAATGCCCCAAGCTTTGGTCTGTGGAATGGGTGGCAACCCAAAAGGTGATTTGAGTGGCGGTTACCGGTAACCGCGTAAAAACACTGGTATAAAAACCGGTTTACCGCTGGTTTAGAAAAGTCCCGAGCGGGAGTCTGCAACCCAAAACAACAAGAAGAGCCATTTTTTTCGAATTCTTTACAAAAGCTCAATAATGTCGAGAGCCGGCAATGCACGTGCACGCATAACATTACGTCAGGAATGTTATGTGTGCACGTAACGCACGTGCACTCTTGCACGTGGTAGCAAGAGTGCACGTGGTAGCAAGAGCGCACGTGGTAGCAAGAGCGCACGTGTATTAAATCCTTCCCCCCCTCCCCCCGGTGTGTATGGTTATTTAGTAGAATGATCGAGTTACGTCAATTAGTGAGTCGCGTGTGGTGGGGTAAAGCGTGGGTACGTCCACACGTCTGATCGGCGTGGGAAGAGTAGACCAAATACACCCTATAGCTCCCTCTATTGGGAGGCCCTTCTGGCGGCAGTGGCGCGAGTGAGCAATTGCAGGGCTGCGCCTTCACACGTTAACCGAACCGAGGGGAAAGTGTTACCACGCACAGACTTTGGGTCGCCGTGCCGTTTGTCCGTACGCGCGTGCCAATCAGAGCATTCTTTTCCAAAATTCCACTGAGTACTACAACCGGTTCCTGAATTTCAGAAACCGGTCATCGAGTTTGATAACGATGAACGCTTTTCCGGTTGTCGTTTAAACAACCCTCGTGTGTCGGTGTGGATGTATAAGGGGTGTGTGTATTGTGTCTGCAGCGGTAGTGGGAGCGGTAGTGTTGCGGTTAGCGCGCTGCGCTACCAACCCGAACACCCGAGTTCGAATCCCGCTCACGACCAACAACCAGTGTCGATTATATCTGAACTGGTCCCGGACCTCCCCTAGGTCGACTCAGCCTAAATTTAGCATCTCGTACGGTTTGTGGTGCTAGCCACACCAACCCCTCGTTGCATTTGCCCCAACAGTCTATCGACTACACGGGGGGTATTTGTGTGTATTTGTGTGTGTGTGTGCAGGGTGGTGCGTGTGCAGTTGCCGTGTCCCATTCTGGAGAGCGTCACCTTTGTGGACACACCTGGCATTCCCAACGATGAGATCGCCACAGGGCAGCACGGTACTTAACACCACCATTGACATCACACATCATGATCACCACAATAAACGTCGTCACAATTAATACCAAGAATATCATCATCATCCTGACCATCACATCTGCTGTAATGCCTGTCATCTTCATTGTAACCGTCACAACCACTGTTATTGTAATCAGCGTGATAATTACCATGATCATAACCATCATCCTAAACATATTAAATATATATTCTTAGCTCTTTCGGTAAAGTCACGTTGAAGGGAAACAATAAAATAATAAAATATATAAAACTATAAAAATTCTCACGACGTTTCGACCATAACACAAACGGTCGTCATCAGGTGTGTCGGTTTGCATAAATTTATTTATTTTTAACGGTGTATTTATTTAAAAACGCGCAGCGATTTGGCAGTTTATTTAGAAGGACTAGTCCATCTATGTTCTGAAAAGAGGAGGGGGGAGACGAAAAATTAATGTATGCTGTCTGAAAGCCACTGTAAGCGTGAAAAATCTAGACCTGAAATGGTTTATCAAATCTTTCCAATGATTGCTAAGCCAGAATCCATCTTCTCGGTTGAAATTGTCTCTGTGCTTGTATATGTGGATAGCCTCATGAACGAATCTCTCATGGTAGCCAGATGGCTTACAAAGAACCTCTGTCTTGGAAAAGTCAATGTCATGTGAGTCTACTGAATTATAACAATGATCTGCCACGCCCGAGGTGTTGGTCCTACCGTGTTTAAGGTCTGTTTTGTGTTCACGAATGCAGTCCGAGACATGGCGTTTGGTTTCTCCAATGTAACTACTACCACAGAGGCAACTTAGTTTGTAGACACCAGGGTACTGTATGTCCGGAATCACATCTTTTACAGACGGAACCAGATCACGGATTTTATGTAATGTGTTGAAATGGACCTGGATCTTGTGTTTATTCAAGATTTTGGAGATCTTTTTTGTGATCCCCGCAATGTAGGGTAAAGTGATGGTTTTGAAAGGCTCCTCAAGAGGGTCCTTCTTCATGGTTTGAGTGATAGCTTTGCGGATTGTATAGTCGGAGTAACCATTAGCCTTAAGAGCTTGGTGTACGTGCTTGAGTTCACTGCCTATGTGTTCCTGGTCGGATATGCATTGGGCTCTATGATGCAGAGTCTTGATGAGAGAATTCTTCTGTGATGGATGGTGGTGGGAATCCGGTTTCAGATAAGCATCCGTATGGGTAGCTTTCCTGTAGATAGAGTGGCTCATTGAACCATCAGGTCTCTTTTTGATTAGGACATCCAAAAAAGGTAGCTTGCCATTTTTTCGACTTCCATGGTAAATCTGATGGCTGGGTGTATGGAATTGATGTGGTCGAAGAATTGGTCTAGAGCAGGCCGGCCATGTGGCCAGATGACAAAAGTGTCATCCACGTACCTCTTCCATAAGGTTGGGCGCAGAGTGGCAGTCTGGATGGCGTCAGTCTCAAATTTCTCCATGAAAATGTTAGCTATAACCGGAGATAGGGGGGAGCCCATTGGGGTGCCCTCAGTTTGTTTGTAGAAAGTTCCATTCCAAGTGAAGTATGTATTGGTTAAACAGTGTCTCACCAGGGGGGGTACCTCAGTGTTTAGTCCTGGATGAACCAAGTCTTCAATGATTGCGATGGTGTCAGGTACAGGAACCTTGGTGAATAAGGAAACTACATCATAACTGACAAGCAGGTCGTCTGGGGACAGGGAAATACCTTTGATTGTCGATACCAGATGAGTAGAATTTTGTACCGCAGAGGTGTTTTTTCCAGTGAAAGGACGCAGGATTTCAGACAAAAAACGAGCCAGTTTGTAGGTGGGGGAGTTGATAGTAGAGACGACGAGACGAAGGGGTGTATCTACTTTATGTATTTTTGGTAAGCCGTATAATCTTGGTGGCCTGGCAGCAGAAGGTTTCAACGAAAACTGTTTAGATTGATCAATTAATGTGGTTGAATCAGAAATTATTTTGTTGGTTTGTGTGACGAGGCTGTTGGTGGGATCTCTTTTTATTTTTGTATAACTACCATTGTCGAGTAATTCTTTAATTTTGTTGTATTCTATTTTATTCATGATGACAGTAGCATTGCCCTTGTCAGCTGAGAGGACTACAATATCATCCCTCTTTTTTAATTTATATAATTCAAAACGCTCATCTTTGCTGAGGTTGCTTGCTGGCATCTTAGCGTTTTTGAGGGTTGCAGCGATTTCAGATCTTGCTACGTCTGCAGCGATGTGACCCAGGTCCCTGAGAGCAACGTCTACTTGGGCAATTATATCATTAACTGGTATGTGTTTAGGTGTGACTGCAAAGTTTAGACCTTTAGGTAAAACGGATTTCAGACCATCGGAAATAGAACTGTTACTGCGATTAATTACGACTTTGTTAACGTCTAACTTTTTGGTGTGTGGGTCCGGTCTTTTGTTGAAGAGGAGGTTAAATTTTGAAATCAGGTTGTCCTTACATTTGGTCGACATAGTAGCAGCTGAAGAGGCAGTCATATTGTCTACATGTTCCCAATCCGATGTGGACATTGTTGCCGTCAATGATAAGTGTGATTTGTAGAGTGTCTTGTCTAACTGATCTAGTTTGGTGCGTATAAGTTTGATTTTTTCTGAGATAAGAGCTAAGCTAGTTTTGAAAAGAATTCGTTTCGCATTACAAGAAGTTACAGCAGCAGAGGTCAGTGTAAATGCGATTGGTATTACCCCAGAGTCGCGCATCTCTTCAGAAAGGTGAGATACTCGATCAGCTGAGCCTTCTTATCCCGGAGTTTGTTGAAGGATCTTAAAGTTATGTGAAAACCCTCCCCGTAGAGGCGGTTAAATTTTGATTTAAAGCTTTCGTGACTGCAGTAATTCATATGCTTAGCTCTTTCGGTAAAGTCACGTTGAAGGGAAACAATAAAATAATAAAATATATATAAAACAATAAAAATTCTCACGACGTTTCGACCATAACACAAACGGTCGTCATCAGGTATGTCGGTTTGCATAAATTTATTTATTTTTAAACGGTGTATTTATTTATTTATTAAAAAAACCATCAGCGCCACGCGCAGCGATTTGGCAGTTTATTTAGAAGGACTAGTCCATCTATGTTCTGAAAAGAGGAGGGGGGAGACGAAACATTAATGTATGCTGTCTGAAAGCCACTGTAAGCGTGAACAATCAATTAAGACCTGAAATGGTTTATCAAATCTTTCCAATGATTTCTAAGCCAGAATCCATCTTCTCGGTTGAAATTGTCTCTGTGCTTGTATATGTGGATAGCCTCATGAACGAATCTCTCATGGTAGCCAGATGGCTTACAAAGAACCTCTGTCTTGGAAAAGTCAATGTCATGTGAGCCTACTGAATTATAACAAAAAAAAAGATCTCCAAAATCTTGAATAAACACAAGATCCAGGTTCGTTTCAACACATTACATAAAATCCGTGATCTGGTTCCGTCTGTAAAAGATGTGATTCTGGACATACAGTACCCTGGTGTCTACAAACTAAGTTGCCTCTGTGGTAGTAGTTACATTGGAGAAACCAAACGCCATGTCTCGGACCGCATTCGTGAACACAAAACAGACCTTAAACACGGTAGGACCAACACCTCGGCCGTGGCAGATCATTGTTATAATTCAGTAGACTCACATGACATTGACTTTTCCAAGACAGAGGTTCTTTGTAAGCCATCTGGCTACCATGAGAGATTCGTTCATGAGGCTATCCACATATACAAGCACAGAGACAATTTCAACCGAGAAGATGGATTCTGGCTTAGCAATCATTGGAAAGATTTGATAAACCATTTCAGGTCTAGATTTTTCACGCTTACAGTGGCTTTCAGACAGCATACATTAATTTTTCGTCTCCCCCCTCCTCTTTTCAGAACATAGATGGACTAGTCCTTTTAAATAAACTGATAAATCGCTGCACGTGGCGCTAACGTTTTTTATAAATAAATAAATACACCGTTTAAAAATAAATAAATTTATGCAAACCGACACGCCTGATGACGACCGTTTGTGTTATGGTCGAAACGTCGTGAGAATTTTTTATTGTTTTATATATATTTTATTATTTTATTGCTTCCCTTCAACGTGACTTTACCGAAAGAGCTAAGAATATGAATTACTGCAGTCACGAAAGCTTTAAATCAAAATATTAAATATAATCAAAGTAATCAACAGGTGGTTACGTACGGTGCGAAAAAAGTTCAACATACATACGTCTTCATCACCATATTCAATACACATCATTATCACGATGAAAATCACACATTTTTATCAGCAATATAACAACCATCGTCATCTCAATATAAATAATCTTTCTGTCACTGAGATAAAACACATCATTATCGATTATAGTTTGCTGCTACAGCTTCCGCAGATTTCTACCGTTTTGAGCTCGGTGGAATGTGACATACACTGATTTATTTCGTGTTGACCGAGAATGTGAACGAAACACTCAACACATTTAACAATACGTAACTGTCCCAAAAGAAAAAAATACACAAGCGACATATCGGGTAATGGTCCTTCTTAAGAGTACATACCTTCTTCACATACAATATTTGAAAAGGAGCCATTGCCCGAAACGTCGCCTCATTGCCGAATGCGTTGAGTTTTCCTGTAGTTAATTGTGCTTATGCACCACTGCAACAGCAGCAGCAGCAACACCAAACAGAAGCGGTCGGATTCATTGGATCCCCCCTACATTACGCAATGTCCGTCGTCAAGCGTGTAGATTGGTAACGGATGTTGCAGCTTCTGCGGATTTTTTCCCGTGTTCACTTCGGTAGACTGCTAGTCGAGTTTGTAGCTTCCAAGGATTTCGAAAGTCCCATGTTTTCACATTGTACGGATGCTATATTTTATATGGAGTGAACTTGCCAATAACATCTGATAATCCTGCAAAAAATATGTCCCACAAGCCTGGTTCTGCCACAAATAATTGTTGAAACCGGTCCAGAGTTTTGTGGCTTGAAAAAAAACCTGTATAATGTTGTTTTTTTTCCGGACAGCCAGTAGATTCACTACAATATCTCTTTAGAGTATGTGGAGAGACATAATTGAGTTCTGCGTATACAGTGTACGCTTTGACATGTTCAGTCGGGCTTAGCAACGCAGTAATCGATCGATTATTAAGCGCACAATGCTTGCGCGCGATTTTTATACGTAATGTATTGTATGAAATGGATTCGTGTTACATCTGCAGCCACTAGTGACCGCTACGTTCACCGCAATATTTCATTATTGTTATTAAATTCACACAAAGCCGGGGGAGGACAGGATACTGGATATGTTGTACCGGGTGCGGTATTATATTCCGAGGCGCTGGTAAACTGGAATAATAGACACAACTGACGTGCTTGCGTACGGGGATGGGATTCCTTTCCAGCTAGGACCCCGCCTGCTTGGCCAACATATATCACCTCTAGTTGTAACAAACAGCTCTCTCGTTGTGTTCTTCTTGGTTCAGCAGTTGCACTGCTGGATTTTTTTTCCGCCTGAGGACGACCGCTTGTGTTGCGATCGAAACGTCGTGATATATGATTTTTTATTTTATTTTATTTTTCTACCGACGTGACTTTACCGAAAGAACCAAAGAGTATGGATTCCTGCAGTCACGAAAGCTTCAAATCAAGATGGAATAATAGCCACACAAGCCATAGATTGAGGCATACTGGATATGGTGTACCGGGTGAGGCAATCATTTATCGGAGTCGCCGACCCCGGACAGATAGATCCCGGCTGAAAAGCAAGCCCTGATGATGTTGCTGGCTGGCTGGCTTCCGCGGATTTCTTCCGTGTTGACTCCTTGCGGCAAGCGGTTGGGACGCGCGCGTGACAGCGTGAACCGCTCCGATTATTGCGATGGCATTCTCTAGCCCGCTTCATAATTAAACGCCGCTGCGTGGTGGGGCAAGCGTAGGGGTTATACCACGTGCTTCCGTGTGAGCAATGGGCAGTGCTCGTGGTTATTGTTGTTCCAGAGCCACTTGTGGAAATTCCACATTCTTATGACAAAATCCAGCATGCTATTTCGGCGAGTTGACCGAACTTGTAATTGTAGTAATGCAGCGTGCTTAAACAAAGATGTTAACATTTCTGAGACTTTGCAACAATAACACGAGTTAATGTGCTGCCTCCGGGCTCTGGAGACCACCTGGAGAAGATTCCAGGCACGTGTTGACAATGATGGTGAACAATTGGAGTGTATTATCCATTATTTTTCCATTAAAAATGATAGTCCCATATAAGTGTGAACATTTTGCCGAAGCACGCTGTAATTATATCAACATGTAACGTGCTACCGCAATCGTATTCGCTCACTCTCAAGGAGAAAGACTTAGTGGCGTGTGGAACCACAGTCGACCAGGATGCTATCGCCACGGTGAGCTGGCGCCAACAATTGACCTAGCTCTGTGGTCCACTATACATGAGGATGTTTTCAGCCAATTCAAAAGTGTTTATACATGTGCGAGGAATCCTGAGCACCCAAAGAAAGCCCACGCGCGCGAGGGGACAGGACTCCATCCCTTCGAGATGTAGACATATGGAGGCCACATCTGCCGTACCGCTTTTTCCTGTCGAGCCAGGGTACTTGCACCTCCTCGACGTCCACGGAGAGTTCACATTTGTGTGATCCACCAATCCAAGCCTCCACAGTGCTGGATTACAGGCCATGTGCATAGCCACTACGGCCACTATGAGCCACTATGAACCACTAAGCCAAATAACCATCTCGTCTATAAAGTTAAAACATGGGTAATCCCACCCACCATCATCATCCCTTCGGGGTTGATAAATTCACTTTGTGGGAAGTCAACCAGGGTTCTATGGTTCCATTAGCTCCTGCCATAGAAATGTGGATTTTCCCCACTCGCTTGAGCAGGCAGACACATGGGCTATTTCACTTTGAGGATACCGCAAATTGATGTCAGTCATTTACCCAGGAGGGCATCGGTGAGTTTCAAGACACCCTTTCAAGAGGGTGCTGGAATCTTGGGATATTTGGACAATTTATGAATATCAAGAGTCGCCGGAGAAAACCCACCGACGGTTGGAACACTAAACTTTCCACACAGATGGATTTCTGGCCACCTCACAGCTTAAGCCTATAACAGCTGGTATTTCACTTTTGTGGAAAGTAAGCAAAAAAATAGTGTATTCTTCAGACAGACTCTGCCCTGTCATAGTAAGGTGGAATTGCGACCATTGTTTCAGGGCTGTAAACAAAGAGACGAGCGCCCCCCGACGCTGTTGGAAAGCGGAAACGGTGTTGGCTCGGCCTGCGACTGCCCCCTGCCGGCACGTGGCTGTCACTGAGACACTGGGCATCTCGCGCGCATCACCCTTTGTCAGCAACACTGCCTTCGTAAATACAGTATAATAGTCGACGTTTCGGGTAATGGCCCTTCTTCATAGTGAAGAAGTGCCATTGCCTTCTTCACTATGAAGAAGGGCCATTGCCCGTGAAGTCGCCTATTGTGTACTCTGTATTCTCAAGGCAGTGTTATTGGCGAATGTGTCGAGTTGTGTGTTTGTTAGATTACTCAACTGGGATTTCACATGGTAGCAATGCCCGGCGCCCCATGGGCAAACTAATGCCCATTCACAGGCAAGTTGCTTCGTTACCTTCCACCACAGAGGGACAGCTGCTGCTGGGGGTGCACTTTTAAACGACGTTGCGATGTTAAGTCGCGCTTATCACGTGTAGTAGAGCGCTTGGTGAGAAACTCCCGGCATGAAGGAGGGAGGAGATGAGTGGCCTCTATCAAAACAATCCCACGTTCCACGAGTCTGCTCAGCGTGCACGTGGGGGAAACTGATAATGAACCAGCCAGCCGGCCTCCCGAATCCCGCTCCCAGACGCACGCGCCGAACGAACGAACGAACGAATGACCGTGCACTTGACCGCCCGCCAGGCTCGACGCCGCTGCCTGGCGGCTACGGCGGGCTCCTGGCGTGGCTTTGCGAGCGCGCGGATCGCGTGGCGCTCGTGTGCGACGCCCCGCGTCCCTCGGTGTCGGAGCGCGGTGCCCTGGCCACGGCGCTGCGCTCGCTGCGCCGCCACCTGCACCCGCACAAGCTTCGCGTTCTGCTGCTGCGCGCCGACGAGCTGGGCGAGCCGGGCTCCCTGCTCCGCGCTCACGGGGCCCTCTGCTGGAGCCTGGGTCGCCTCCTCGGCCGAGGTCATCCGCAACAGCAGCAGCAGCAGCAGAAGACGAGACAGGGCCATCAGATGACGCTGGTGTCGCCACCGCGTGTGTACGCGGCCGCGTTCCGGGACGGGCCCCTGCGCTGGGACTGGAACCGGGATCTCCTGGAGGTGAACGAGAGGGACTTCATGAATGACCTGCGGAGCCTCCCGCGGCTCGCGCCCCTGCGCCGGCTCAACGACGTCATCGCCAGGGCGCGCCTCGCCAGGGTGAGCCGTGGCGCGGGTTGTTGTTGATGTTGTAGTTATTGACATCTGTGGTGTTGTCAAGTCCATAATCGTTGTTGTTGTTAAATCCGTTATTGTATTGGGCCGCTCTCCAGTTCAGGTCACGTCCTGTTTAAGGCAAACTTGTAATTTAAAGGTGCGGTGTGTAAACATCACTGGGGGAGACAAAGGCGGGCGTGACCATGGGGCTGGCCATACCAACCCTGCCTTAATAGGTGCTCGCTGAGAGCTGGATTGGAGAAGGATGTGTGTCCTCGTGTCCCACAGGCCCACGCGTGCATCGTAAGCGCCCTGCACTCCCAGCTGCCCCTGTTTGGTCGCCGGGCGGCCCTGACGGAGCTGGTGGCGCAGGGAGGCCTGGCGCCGGTGCTGGAGGTGGCGCAGCAGCGGTGGGGGTTGCCAGTGGGAGACAGGCCTGAGATGGAGCCTATGCAGGTGCCTCTCAGCCACCCCCCCCCCCCCACCTGCTGAACCTTACATCCCCCCTCCCCCATCTACATCCTTGACCCCCCTACGCTGCACCTTAGCCCCCATTGTAATTATTTAGCCCCCACGCTGCACCTTAGCCCCCATTCGTAACGATTGAATGCTCCCCGCCCCCACACCTTCTGAATTCTGCAGCTGAGATTCTTGCAGTGGCGGATACATATAATGTGTAGGCCGGTGTGAAATGAAGCCACGGGGCGTCGGTTCCTCACCCCTGCGCTCACGGAAGCGTGGAAGTGTAGTGGTGAACGCACTCTGCTACGAACCTGGCGACCCGCTCATGGCCAACATCAGTGATGAATATCTGAAATCTGTTCTGGGTCTCCCCTAGGTCATCTCACCCTTCAACGAGTATCTGGCGCAGTACGTAAACATCATCACCGGGGAAACAAAGGCAGCCGGGCATGCTGCAGGCCACCCACCCCCTTGAGTGCCGTGTCGGCCTTCATAGGTGCTCGCCCACAGCACTTGCTGCGTATGCGTGAGAGCGTGTCTCGTGCGTGGTTGTGTGTGTCCATGCAGGAGTGGCTCATGCACTGCGACATGAGCTTCATCCGCCCCATGGAGCGTCGTCTGCTGGCCGCCGTCGACACTCTCCTCCAGCGCGACGCTCCGGCGCTGCTCTCCCGCTTCCGCAGTGAAGCCTCCTCCTGCACCTCCTCATCGTCGTCGTCATCCAGACGTCCTCGCCCCTCCCTCCTGCTGCTGCCGGGCGGCCAAGCCCTGCCCGCGTCGTCCCTGGGACCATTCGCCGAGGACCTGGGATTCGTGTCCGCGACGTCTCCCACCTGCGGCGACGACGACGGCGACGGCGACGACGACGCCTCGTCGCCTGCGCCATGGGCGCTCTCGGAGGAGAAGGCGCTGTACGAGGAGCTGTTCCGCTCGCTGTCACCCGTGCGGGGCCGCGTGTCGGGAGCAAGCGCGCGACTCGTGCTGCTGCGCTCGCGGTTGCCCGCGTGCGCGCTGCGCCGCGTGTGGCGCCTGTCCGACGTGGACGCCGACGGCATGCTCGACTCCGACGAGTTCACCGTCGCCAACCACCTGGTAGCGGCGGCGCTGCGAGGGCACGAGCTGCCCCGCGAGCTGCCCCCGCACCTCGTGCCGCCCTCCAAGCGCGATCGCGGCCGGGGGCATCGGGCGGCGGCGGCGGCGGCGGCGGCGGCGGGGGTCGGCGAGCGGGGGGACTCGGGAGCCCCCGCCGATTGCGGCGTCGGGCAGAGCGAGCGGCCGGCGGAGTGATCGGCCGCTGGCGTTTGTGCCGTGCTTGTGCGCGCCGCGTTACGTGAACGATGTGACGCTGGAGGTGGCGACGGCGGCAGCGGTCGGCGTGGAGGTCAAAGCACCGAGTCGGCACCGCTGAGAGCCTGGGTTTGAATTTGCGTTTCAGCCGGGTCACCGATGAATCGCAGAGAGGCCTGTATGCTCGCATAGAGACCCCGACAGTTACATAGACTGAGTAGTGGTTGGTGGTTTAAGCTCGGTCACCAACAACTCTCCAATGTAAATCTGTAACGTGAAATCTGTTTCTGCTCTTAATGTGGCTAATTTCCAACTGTGGGAAATAAAATACTGTATCGGTTTGGGTGTCGACTATCATGCGTATAACATTACTCTGCTGCCCTCTACATTGATATCACAGCAGTAGTTCTGTAATATCCACTTCCGTTGGCCGTTCTGTAATGCAGGGGGGGTTGCACTGCGTTGAAACAAATTCAAATGGATAATTCGTCTAATGATGCCATTGGCACGTGTGTCATCAGCCATGGTTTATCCACTGCTGGATGAAGGTATCCACATGCTGTTGCCATCCCACATTAATTCGCAGGAACAACATCCCCTTGGATATTATTCCTTCTTTAAAGGTCTACTTTTTAAATGATTTTATTATCAAGCCTATCTGGACAGGGAGCTCTGTTGTTAGAGCGCTAGACTCGCAATAAAAAGTTTCCGAATTCAAATCCTAGCATCAACATCATTATCAACATCATTATCACCATCAATATCATCAATATTAAAAAGAGAGAACACCATTTTATAGAAAGTCACCTGAGTCCTCAGGGAAAAACTGCTACCGTCATAGGAATGCGGAATAATCATCAACTGAAGTGACCATCGTCAATGAGGACACTGTGAGATGATTAAACACAAACTTGTCACCTTCAGCAACGGGAGTTTAGACGCTTTACAGATTTGTATCATGCGTGTACACCATCGCCAGAGTAGCTGCAGAACTCTTACTGTGACCTCTACGTGTGCAATATATAACACATGTAAATGTCGGCTTCTGTGAGTGTAATAAACACAAAACGAAATGAAATAAAGATCTGTCAAGATTTATCATGTCTCATCCTCCTGCCCCAATATCTCTCCCACCCACACATCTCTCCAGCGATCGCTCATCCTCGTGTTTTCCTTCTGACCTACGAATCAACCACACGTAAGTTGGCTCCGCTGGCAGGCAATAATTTGTTGGGTTATGTAGCCCATGTGTCCAGCCACCGAATGGGACTTTATGAGAATATATATTTAAAGAGTTTTATTCTTATCAAGCATCACGGTGTAGACTGCAGTCTCCAACTCTTATTTTTTTCTCAGTCTCTCTATGTGCTATGAAGAAATGCCATTATCCAAAATATCACCTGTTATGTATGGATGGTGAACTTATTTCATATGTTCCGTTTAAGGCAGTAATTGAACAACGTGAGTTTTTCATTGATGGTGTGGCAAAAGCATATACCAGGTTGTCATCATAATCGTCCATCATCAAGCCACTGCTGGATGACGTTATCCCCAAGAAGTCGACATACACTGTGGTCGTGCGATGCCACAATCCATCTGACTCCTGAACGTGAGCCGATATCATTGCATCTCCACAGCGGACGTGCTCTCTGGTGTGTTCTCTCCATTTGTTGTCATTCTGTTGTAAGTCTGAACCTTCCCGTCGAGCGACGTGTCCTGCTAAAGCATTCACCAGTCGATAGAATAATAATATTACTATTATTTAGCCAGAAATGCCACACTGGGTCTGAAGACTCAGGAGGGTCCTGCATTTTCAGGTTTTACCGACACCAATTACATTGTATGCGTTGCACACGAGCTGTTTTCATTGCTCCCATCTCCACAATCGACACCTCATGAGTGTTCTCTCCTTTGGCTGACAACTCTGTCCATCCTGCCCTTATTGTCAACCACCCACGACCAGTCCCTTCCGGTGACGTATCCTGTCCCAAGCGCCTCTGATTAGCACGCTTGGCTACGAATGGTGCGAAAGAATTTCAACATACATACATTACTTTTATTAAGAATCCATATTATGCCTCTTGCTAGCAGGTGTTCTCTCTGACACGTGTGTTCCTCTCACTGCCTCTCAGTGCTATTCCAAGGGTTGCTTATCCTCTCCGTGCGTCCTTACGCTCTTTTTACACGCTTTCTTTTAACTCACTCTGTTGTTGTATCCTCAAATCTTGTTACTCAATTTTAACCCACTTCCCAATATGGTATCGAATGCAAACTTGGTATACTTATGTCATACTGATGACAATACTATATTCTATCAAAAAACATTTTTAAACATTTTGTTTATGTTATGTTTCGGCTTGGCTCTAATTGTCCACGGTCAACTGACGTTGGCTGTAATTGGCCACGGTCCCCTTACGTTGTGGCAAGCTTCGGGGCCACTTCCTGGAGCCGTGGAGTTCTGCTATTACTAGTACATTTCATAAAAGCGTGTTTTTTTTAAAATATTACTTATTCAATGTCCAACATGTTCGGTTCCCCGTCTCAGGATGTGTAGAGCAATTCGCTGCCACTAGAGGGTGGGCGCGCCACGTGAGATGTCATCCCAAATCATTCGTTCGAGTCCTTTTCCTGTCACTCCCCCGCTTCACCATCACACCAAAACACAGAGCTTATTACTTCCACCTGTACCTAACTGCTTCTGGCACCTTTTGCTCCCACGTGTGTGTGTTTTTTTTCGATTTACGCGTATTTATATTACTGTTCGACTAAAATATAAAGCTTACCTGCGCATGTACCTAACTTTTTTTAAAGTTACACTTGCACCGTTTTTGACTTGCGTGTTGCCTTTAAAATACCTCGTTTGTTCGTTGTGCAATATTCCTTAAGGGCCCTGTACTCGTTCTCTGCAATATTGACGTTTTTATTGTGTCGTTGTACTCACGCAACACTGATCTCCCTCGTAAGAAAAAAAAAAGCCGGGAAACTGGCTAAACAGGATCATGCGTGCAAATCAAAAGCAACGTAACACACTTAACACGGGCTTTAGAGTTGTTGCTAAGATTTCGCAAGTTTGCCACTGCAGTTGAAGGGTCCCTAACTGTTCGCGTGTCCCGCCACGTGATGTGTCGGGCGCTGATGCAAATGAATGAGCGCTTTCTGAGTCACCCGGGGACATTCGTGTATATATATACACACACAATCATCAGGTTCATCCAGCGTGTAACGACGTAATTTATATTCGTGCGGGGAATATCCGAAACGGTGGATTCGTTGAGCAACCGGATTTTGCGGTGGCATTGTCTTCATTGGCGCTTTGTGACGTCGAGACACTCAGGCTCACATTTGAGACACATACGACTCACCATAGACCCCCCCCCCCCCCCCCCAATCGACTCGCACAAAAAAAAAACCCCACTGATAAACTGGAATGCGTTGGCAGTGACTTCCCACCGTCCGCAGAGCTTTCTCCCGTTCACATCCCACGCGGCTTCCCAGGGGAAAACTTGGGTCTGGTGGCATGCCCTGGTAACCGGGGCATCATCATCATCACATGTCGCATTTGTATTCCGATGATAAATGAGTTCTGCACCCAGGGGTGAACTTGAGTTGGGCTCCCTCAACACGAGCAGCGGCGCGTGGTGGCGATGACTGGGGATTTTGGAAATCCCTCGACTTTTGAGGCTTCATTTGTTGAACGCAACTACGCCCGCCCAAAAAGCAGGGATTTAAGAAGAGTCGCTTGCAACCAACCGCCACTCGTTCGCGCATGCATTTGAAGAGTGATGTTTAATATTTCTTTTGCAGCTAACTTTGCGCGACTCACAGAAGTACACGCCGTGCGGCGCGTGCACTTTGGGCCGTCGTCTTTATTGCCGGCAGGAAAAAAAATAAATCCAGTTTGTTTAGGTCGAGGAGAAGGAGGCCTTCCCGGGGGGGCTCCCTGCGAAGATGAAACACGGACACGGAACGTCCCATCCGTACATTATACCGGGCAAGGCCGTAGCCATTGAGTCAACACTGGGGGGGACCAAATCTTCAAGGGTGGCTGGGGGTCCCAACCCAGAAAAATATCTAAATTTGAAAACTCATTTCTTGCCTAAAATATTTCAAAATTCACTGACACATGGGATGGATCTTCTTTGGTTCTTTCGGTAAAGTCACGTAGAATGAGAATAAAATAATAAATAAAATAACACATTAAAATTCTCACGACGTTTCGGCCACAACACAATTGGCCTTCTTCAGGTGAAAGGAACAGACCTGTCGGGACGACAGAGCTTCAATGAACGTTGTTAAGATTCGTAGCGTCTTTTAAGCTGGTTTATAGAAGTGAGGCACCTTGAGAAAGGGGTTTACATATCAAACAGGAGAATTTCGCATTGAAATAGCTGAGTGATTAGCTTGTGACTGGTCATAGAAATAGCTATGTTAAAGTCAAAGCCTACACATCCACAGAGGCACCTAGTACAAATCAAACAGGAGAATTTAGCATTGAAATAGCTGAGTGATTAGCTTGTGACTGGTCACAGAAATGGCTATGTTAAAGTTTATTATTATTCTTAGCTCTTTCGGTAAAGTCACGTTGAAGGGAAACAAGAAACATATATTTTATTCTTTTATATATTTTATTATTTTATTGTTTCCCTTCAACGTGACTTTACCGAAAGAGCTAAGAATATGAATTACTGCAGTCACGAAAGCTTTAAATCAAAAATTAAAGTTTATTGTGTTATTTTATTTTATTTATTATTTTTTTCTCATTCTACGTGACTTTACCGAAAAAAACAAAGAAGATGAATCCTTGCAGTCACGAAAGCTTTAAATCGAAACATGGGATAGACTTTTTTTTACAATAATGTCGAATAGTGTATTGTATTACTTTGCTCTGTTTTTACTTTTTTTACCATTTCTTGTTTCATTGTATGTAATGGCAGAGATTAGGGATTAATAAAGTACAACCATAAGCAGAATCATATAGACATAAAGCTATGCATTGATTTAAATGAAGACAAATCCAGATATTGTGAGCAAATTGTTGTTTTTATTTACATAGCATAGCCATTTTTTATAGCAATATATTGTGGGGGGACATTTTTAGCATATTTTTATATGCCTTGATACCGGGAGTGGAAAACCTCCAACCAAATGTGATCCCTCGTGGCGTAAATCGGGCCTCTCCCCTCCATCCATCGACGTGACTTTACCGAAAGAACCAAAGAACATAATAAGATTAATCACTTGCAGCAAAAAATAGTCTGTATTTGTTGAGTGATTGACATTATGAAATGAAAACAAACTTAAAAAAAACATATAGCCCTTTGTCAAACCACTACTTGATGAATCTCTCCCACCCACACCTTCCCTTACGCCGTGTTGGTCATGAGGAGTGGGGGGTGGTGGGGGAGTGTTTGACCATACTTCACCACCCTGGTCAATGCGGGTTGTTGAAGGGTGGGGAGTTGGAGGGGAAGGGCTATTCCGATATCACAAACAGCTCATGTGTGAGTCGTGGGATGGCAACTTAAAAAGTCGCGTTGGCCGGATTTGTTTCTTGGAAGAAGCCCTCTCATCAACACGGCCCCGTGATGGTAGGTTGTTGTAATAACAAAAACAACACGTGGCGCACGGTTAATAAACGGATGTGTAGAGTTGTATTATATATATTTACATCTTTACTTAAATAGAGGTTCGATTATACTTGGCGGCAGGTGCTGTGCTGTGCTGTGATGGTTCACAAAATAATACCACCAGGGGAATTGTGAATAGTTTTGAAAGTTTGATTCGTATTTTTTTCTACTACCCGTTTCCATACATTTTGATAAGCTAAGCGCGTTTTTAAGCCCCCGGGGCACTGCTTGGCGCAGAGATGACCGGCTGCGATCCCCGTCTTTATCAACCCGCATTGACCGGCGCGGTGAAGTATAGTCATTTCATTCCGACAACTCGTACGGCGCGGCGTGGGGTAGGACCCCTCATCTAGCAGTGGATTGACAATAAAAAAATACCCTACGGGTGTGATGGTGGAGAGAGAGAGAGTCGTTCTGTTCGTATCTATCGTCGAGAGTGAAAACTTGTGTGCGGTGCCTTACAAGTTGAACGTCGTCCTATACGTTAAAAAGAGAAACGTTAAATGAGGGGAATGTGTGTTGGTCGGTTCCCCGCTGAAATTCGAAAGGAAACTTTGATTTTAGACCAGGCGAGGTCCCATTTGCGAACAGCCTCAAGGGCCACCAATTGTCACCACGATGGCAATAACCAACCCCTCAATAACCAACCCCTCAATAATATCTCAATACAACAATTGATACGCGACTGTAGCCCTCGCGCAAATTAAAACCCTGCAGACAAAAAAAATATATAATACCGTACAATTGAACGCCAATTTATATCAATCCCTATCGACATTTCCTCACATTTGTTATTATTATTATCATTATTTAAATAAATATAGTTAGTATTTTTTTTATTTTTATTTCCGTCTCGGGGCCCCATTGGGCCTCGGGCGGGAAGGCGGCGCCGTGGCTCGGCCCGAGCTCGGGCCGCCGCCGCCGCCCCCTTGGGCAGCCGCCGCCGCCGCCGCCTCCAACGCTGCCACCGCCGTCGCTGCTGCCGCCGCCGTTCCGCTTTCGTCTGCCGCGACTGCTTCGCTCGACCGCGAACATGGCCAGGAGACGGCCACGGCGATGATCGGCGTCGTGTCGAGCTCCCATCGGCTGACCCCCCCCACCACCACCACCATTGCATGTCCAGCGAGACGCGGACACGCGGCCTAACAAAACACCGGCCCTCGGATAGAAGCGCTGCCGGGGGGAAGCGAGGGGAACCCCGGCACGTGTTGGTGGAGGAGGTGCCATCCCTCCCCAACCCCCCCCCAACCCCCCAGCTCTCCACCCCACGGTTCATTTTTTTTCTCGCGGACCACGATCCGTCTCGGACAAACAACCGGCGTGCGGTCTCGAGTGGCAAAGGCGAGGGCGGCTTTCCCGTGGCAGTGCCGCTCCGTCGCAGTGTTTTGTCGAGCTCGCGGTGGGGAGTGAGACGAAGACTTTTAAGTTCAATATCGCGGTCGTTGTAGCCATGGCTGACGGTAGTGCCATCACCACGAGGATCCGGCGTCTGCTTCGCTCTCCGTCGCTGTCCCTGAAGAAGACGAAGCCCACGCCTCTCACCGAGCGGGTAAGCAAGGGGGTTTTTTGTTGTTGTTGTTGTACAAGCGTGGGACTTTAAGGGGTTAACGCAGGGATAGAAGGGGAGTTTAAACGCATGTTTTCAGCTTTGCGTTCTCGGAGCTATATAATAAGCGCTCGCTCCGCAGGTCACCGTTGGGGTTAATAGCTTAGCTTAGTCAATAATAGTCCGCAGCAGAAATTGATACCACCTGAAGGTAGCAGAACTTTAGAAAGTAACGATTCACTTGTATGGCTAATGAGAGTGAATTGTTGCGTAGGCCACTCATTTCAAATGGTTCTCGCGCAATTCGCTGTCGTTGGACGCATAAACAAAGTGGGAACCGCTAAAGTTACTCTGCCTTGGGTGGTACCGACAAGTGAAAATGTCTGGTCTGGGCTCGTGAAGAATATTTCCTGTCAGTTGCGACATCTTTCTGATTCATGCGAAGGTTGTTGCTAATAGTTGGGGGTGGCTGTGTTAATGCTAGCCCAAGCGGGGGGTGAGGGTTTAGGACGAGGCTGAAGTTGAGGGTAGATTGTTGGGGGGTTTAGGCTTAAACTAGGGGGTAGAGTTAGCCCGTGATGTTTAGGGGTCGTTACGAAGCCTGGGTGTAAGGCGTTTACAACTAGGCTGATTGTGATGGTCACCGGCCAGGTTTAATGTACATTATAGCTGTCCCGAGTGAGTGAGCTTAAGTGAGAGTCGTGTGGCGGTTTCTAAAACCTCGGTGTATATGAGATGGTCCAAGTTCGTGTTGTGGCTATACTTACATGAGGGATGAGTTTGCCCAGGTGAGTGGGATGCGCTTAAGTGAGTGGAGGGTATAGTGCCCATGTCTGGATTGTTGCTGTGGTTGATGAATGAAGGGTGTAAAGCTAACCCAATTGAGTTTTGGGGCCCATGCTAAAGTGAAAGGGAGAGCTAGCCCAAGTGGGTTATGGTGAGGGTCGAGGCTTACATGAGGACAGATCTCACCAAAGTGATGGTTGTTGCTGAACCCAAATGTGAATAGAGCTCAAGCATATGAGGGCGAGTGCCTATTAACATCTAGCTGTATGCCCTCGTTTAAGTTTAAAAACGTTAAGTTTAGCTCCAGCTAAATACATTGCATCTGCGTTATATTATAACGTGGAATAAGCCATCATACGAGCCATATACAATTATCTTAGTCTGAAAATGGAACCTTTTGGGTCTGTACTCTTTGGTTTCTTTCGGTAAAGTCACGTAGAAAATAAAATTAAGCTGGCATGGTGAGGTGCTCATCTAGCAGCGGGCTGACATGTACCGTGCACGGTAAAACCAAAGTACGAAGGAAGTTTATTTCTACACCCGGTCAGCACTACTAACAAGATGCCTCTCTCACTCTCTCTCATGCGGATCATTTTACAACTGCAATAGACCAGGCTGGCGCGTGTGTGTTGAGCACCACGGACGCGGTTGTTATTAAACAACAACGCGACAACACAAAGTGGAAAAATAATTACGGTGACTGGCCGAGGCAGGGTGGAAAAACGCCGCAAGCATTGCTGCCGCAATGTTAATCTTTATCCTTTAAGCTCCTTAGAGGCACTTGGTGCATAGCGCTGCAGTGGGTTCATTTACACGTGAAGTTTTGGACCATCATATGACGTTACCGTGCCTCCTGAGAACTCCCCCAGCACAAGAGTAACTCGAGTGCTGGCTGGTGTAGATCCTCGTGTTTTGGAACTCTGGAAGGTGCTGTAGATTAATAATAGGGTTTTTTTGGGGGGGGGTCAGATCGCGTTAATATATAAATGTGTCGTTAAAACCCGCCACCACCCGACAATCTGATTGCAAATCTTCTGGCTTGGCTCTCCAACACATCGGTGTGCTGTACTAGTGACGAATTGGCACGTTCTGTTTACGTGACAAACCTTACTAGTTGGCTGTGTCAGGTGTTGGCGGGTTGTAACGACACATTTATATATTTACGCGATCTAACCCAAAAAAAACCCTCTGTTATGGATGATATTGGTCGCGAAAGCCTACGTGTTAAACTGTGCTGTAGATTGTTGTTTAGTTGGTTTCGACTCGTGGAAAGAGGATGGAAGTAGGGATTTTGGGTATCTTGTCTTTCTTTATAAGCCATCCATCATACGGACCGTTTATTTTTTACGGGGAAATTCTACGAATGTTGGCCGGCCCCAAACTTCTCTGGGATCAAAACAAACTGCTTCACTATTCACATTGATCCCATCCAAGATAATCCATTTAATAAATGCATTATGTTCCCGAAGCAGGCCCGCTTTCATGTCGAATTACGGGCATTACTTTTAAAGAATCAAATTTGTTTGCAATTCCCTTCATGGCTGTGGCTTAACTGAACGTTTGAGATCGCTTTGGGGTACGAGTTTTAATTTAGATGAGACGTTTGTTTCCTGCTGAATGTGCATTTTTGTTTGCGGGCTTTGTATTTCATTGACAGAGTGATACTCTTAATGCACGTACAGTTCCTTTCTCTATGGGTACAAGCTTAATGTGTTCTGCCCCATTTATTATTAGAATTTTTTCCCCCGCATGGCATGTCTGGGTTCTAAACATTTCAATGTATCTATTGAAAACTGCCGAGGAAAATAAAAATGTACAAACATTCCTCTCTTCTGCTTCAAAACCCCAATGATGTGTTATTGTAAACAAAATAATGATCCAGTGATTGATGTCTTTAATTGTTGGTTGTGTTCTAAAGTTTACACTGGACAATTACAACAGAGCTTTTGTTTGTCACGTACAGTCATTTTAAAAGATCGAACTTGACGCGATTACTGTTACCAGTCGGATTGCATGAGCAACTAAACGATTTAAAGGTTGTTTTTCACACTTGTCAAATATAAATAGTATAATGTTAATGCTGCAGTTTTAATGTAGGCGTATTTGTCTGGCATTCGCAGTTGCTGGTGGAGTGCATTTTTACGATTTAGAATGGCGAGTGAGTCATTGTGTTCATTAACACGAGGTGTGCATTGCGAAGGCTGGCCCCTGATATTGGTACGCACCATTTATCTTGCCTCTACAGTTGTGATGACTTTTTTCGGCAGCGAAACCATGGGGACCCTCACCGCTTATTCCCATTCCGGCCGTATCGTCTTCAATTTCAGACAAATGGCAGCAGGCCTGGGTTTATTGGTGTCCGCGCAGATTTACAGCAGGCAACGGAGATGTGCACTAAAAACAACTGCTTACCCTGCCAGTTGGGCCCTGTTTTGTATTTCTCAGCAATAAAACAACGTAAGCCCTGGTGAACGAAGCGGAGCATTGTGAGCGATGTGCATCGTGCAGTCTGGATTAACGCTGCACCGACCGCAACACCGGTCAGCGCAATGTGGCCCGTCGTTGTTCGAAAGAACGTGCGAGAGACGCCGAGGTGTCGGCCAAAAGGGCAGAAGGTTCAGTCTGAAAATAGCGAGGTGAGACTGCTGCAAGGCCACACTGTCAGCCAGCGGGAGGCAGCGACCCCAATTATCGTCGTTAGATTACCATGTTTGGCAAAGTTGAGCTTAGGAAAACAGCAATTACCGTAAGTGTACAGAGAAATAGAAGAGTGGGCAGTGCCTTTTACAGTCTGGTGGATATTTGGGTAAAACGTTTGAAGAGGTGTCCTTCAACGGGGGAAGTTTTAAACTAGAAATTCGAGATGGTTCAAATGATTCAGTGACACGTTACCAAAAGTGCACTCAGCTCAGAGATGCTGCCTCTGCCTCCAGGCACAGGTGCGCGGTTGTTCTGGTTGTCGCAAGCTTTTTTTTGACGGGGAGTGCAGCTGTCGTGACAGTCGGCCTGTGCAGCGAGCCCTTTGAGCGGTGATGATCGTTTTCGCTGTTTGCCAAGATGCCTGCGGGCCTGCGATGTGACTTTTTGGTGTGCGCTGCACACATAATTGAACAGCCCATTGCGATGTTGTTGCTGTGATGCGTGACTGTGGAATCGCGTTATGCAAACCACAGTGGGCTCACATAACGCTCGACTGCAGTGTGAAATGTGCCCGATTAAATAACTGCACTCTTTTAACTTGTTGTCAGCAAGGGGGTTGGCTGGCTCAGAGATCAAAGCATAGTGGAGAACCTGGGTTCGAATATGGGCTTTAACCATCCTGTGATTTAAATGGCTTTCTCAAGTTTAGCGAGTTGATAGGCTGAGCAGGGACGCTAATGACAGTACAAAAAAAACCTCATTACGTTAACTTCAGTTTAGCACTTAATTTGTCTAAATTTGAGCTCTTGAGACTGACATGTCGGTTTTAATGTGATGAAAATTACACTCGGTGGCAGAGGAGCTGAGGAAGTCACGTCTTCTACCTAATCTGTGCAACAGAGGTCACGTTTAGGGATTTCAGCATTTGCTCTTTGGAATCCCCTTCCAAAAAGCCATGATAACACGAAGATTTTCACTGCAATGATGATACATGATATATCGTCAATAGATGTTATCTGGATAAAATTGGGAAAGATTAAAACAAATGTGTAAAAAAAAAGTTCTATTGTCCATATTACAAGTTGGCAGATGTTTGTGCACAGTTGAAAAGCTTGTTTTGCACTGTTTGCACATTCATATTGTATAATGTAAATATATACTGGATTAGAATATGGGAAAATCATTCATCTGCCAGCTGTGATGTTGCATGGGTTTGTGAAATAAAGTACAACATTTCCCTATTAAATTCTTAACTGAATAACATAACTTTTTCCCCATCCAGTTTCAAAGATGTCAGTTTGTGCCTGGTGTCCCATTACAGTGTGTTGTGTAACACGTGTTTTATCATGGTTATATAAAAAAAGAAATACATCGGGGTGGTGTGATCGTGAGTGCGCATGTGCGTTCTGGTCTGGTAACTCATAACACCTGTGTCTGTCCCGTGACCACTAACCTGTGAATCTTTTCATCTTGGTGGCCTCCAAGTGCAACTGACCTGGCACAAGCCAGTTGAGATACATGTGCTGTAGTGTGACAGCTGCTTTGTGGAGAATAGTGGATGTGATTGTTGTTTGTTATGTGTAACTGGGAAATGTAAAAAAGTGCCCATTGCCAGTAGTGCACAAATATGAAGCTTTCCACATGCATCATTCAATGCTGCCTTATAGCAAAAACTTATTGTAGTGTGAAGTATCGAGCACTGTCCTTGTATATTATGTAAGAAGAGCTAATGGGCCATAGCCAACAACTATAGCCTATGAGATTTTTATTTACAATAACTAATACCCTTTACCCAGGATAGCCTTGCTGAGTCTCGAGACTCTTCCTCCAGGAGGGTCCTGCAACATTGGGATATGTGTTCAATTCCATCATGAGTGTTTGCTATCCGGAAGATGACCAGAGTACCCGGAGAAAACCCATGCATACGAGAGAGGGTGGCTCTCAAAGCTTTACACAGAGCTTCTTGAATTCATCGTTGTAGCTACATCTCCTGGCCCCTTCGCAACCCAAGCCTGCGGTACATTGGATTTCCATGCAGTCTCCTGCCCCGAGTGCTTAATGAGGCTTAACCCTGCTTGGCTTCCAATATTTGACGAGATTGGGCTAATTTGTGGTCATTTGGATCATGAGCCGGTGCTCGTGACAAATGTGTCGAGTGTTTTTGAGTTGTGGCTGTGGGAAGCACAATCTGGGATGAAGACAAAGTGACAGTGTTGTTTTTCTCATTCTCAAGGTGACGCTGGAGAAGGTGTTGGGTATAACGGTGACCTCCAGCAGTGGCCTGGCCTGCGAGCCCAAGTCGGGTCTCCTTGCCTACCCAGCAGGGTGAGTAGGCCGGTTTCACTGGCTTGTATGCACACTGCTGCTCGCCCGCTCGCTCACTCACACTTGCGCGCACACACAGATCAAAGACAAATATCCCCCCGTGTGACCTTAAACAGGCTGCTGGGGCAAGTGTTAGTAGTGAGAACCTGTAGAAGCCAGCGCAGTGCACAAAGGCGGTGGTGTGGGGCAGCACCATGCCTGGCTGGCCTTTGTGTCCTCAGCGCTGATCATTTCACATCTTAGGCCGAGCTGAGCTAGGGTAGGCCGAGCACCACTGTGCCACCGCTCCCCAATGCAAAGACAAGGACCCCCCTTTTACAGCCTTTTAATGAACTGTTGGGGCCAGTGTTGTTCGCAAGCACCTAATGAAGGCTGGCACGGCACACGTTGGGATGGGTGGGGGTGGCCAGCACCATGCCTTTGTCTCGTCAGTGTTGATATTTACACATCGCACCAGGTACTAATTTAAGACTGAGTCGACCGAGAGGGAGCTCATGACAAGTAGAAATTTTCATCACTGCTTTTGGTCATGAGTGGGAATGGAATTCGGGTTGCCAGGTCAATAGCGCAAGTGGACTAATCACTTGTACTGCTCCCCATTGCTCACAAGTACATATACATATGTTGTGTAGTGCAGAATGACTCGAAGACAGAACTTCTAGTAAGGGCTTGCGCCGGTTTGTTAAACACAAGGTAACAACTTACACTCGGTCCTTCACGTGGACCTCAGGCTCTAATCTGTCCTTAGCCTCGGCTATCCTCATGGGCTCTCTCACTCGAGTCGGGACGGGGGTTCAGCCAACACCGCCCGACCGAGGAGAGCAGCACCCCACGTAACCTTAGCCGGCTCTCACAGACTTCTCTGAGCCCTACCCCTGGCTATCTCTTCGGCTGTCCTACTCGTCGAACCCGGGCGGGGGATTGGCCAACACCGTCCGGTCACGAGCAGGAGAGACCTCCTTCAGACGCTCTGCATCCCGGGCTCCCACAACGAACCCCGCTTTCGTCACCGGGTCCCCGTTAAGTATCCCCTTGGGCGGCTCCTCCCCCTTTCTCGGACCCGCCCTCGTTCTTCCCGATATCTGCCTCCGGTGGTCATGACATGACGTCATCGCGCCTCACAGCGCTCATGACGTCACGTCGTCACACTACTTCTAAAAAAAACTACGTTCATTTCTATTTTTTACTCTAGTTTTTTTTTCGTGACCTGGTAGAATTTTGACGAGGTGTAATTTTGATTTAAAGCTTTCGTGACTGCAGTAATTCATATTCTTAGTTCTTTCGGTAAAGTCACGTTGAAGGGAAACAATAAAATAATAAAATATATATAAAACAATAAAAAATTCTCACGACGTTTCGACCATAACACAAACGGTCGTCATCAGGTGTGTCGGTTTGCATAAATTTATTCTTGAACGGTCTATTTATTTATTTATTAAAACTGCGCCATGCACAGCGATTTGGCAGTTTATTTAGAAGGACTAGTCCATCTATGTTCTGAAAAGAGGAGGGGGGAGATGAAAAATTAATGTATGCTGTCTGAAAGCCACTGTAAGCGTGAACAATCAATTAAGACCTGAAATGGTTTATCAAATCTTTCCAATGATTGCTAAGCCAGAATCCATCTTCTCGGTTGAAATTGTCTCTGTGCTTGTATATGTGGATAGCCTCATGAACGAATCTCTCATGGTAGCCAGATGGCTTACAAAGAACCTCTGTCTTGGAAAAGTCAATGTCATGTGAGCCTACTGAATTATAACAATGATCTGCCACGGCCGAGGTGTTGGTCCTACCGTATTTAAGGTCTGCTTTGTGTTCACGAATGTGGTCCGAGACATGGCGTTTGGTTTCTCCAATGTAACTACTACCACAGAGGCAACTTAGTTTGTAGACACCAGGGTAATGTATGTCTGGAATCACATCTTTTACAGATGGAACCAGATCACGGATTTTATGTAATGTGTTGAAACGGACCTGGATCTTGTGTTTATTCAAGATTTTGGAGATCTTTTTTGTTTGTTATAATTCAGTAGGCTCACATGACATTGACTTTTCCAAGACAGAGGTTCTTTGTAAGCCATCTGGCTACCATGAGAGATTCGTTCATGAGGCTATCCACATATACAAGCACAGAGACAATTTCAACCGAGAAGATGGATTCTGGCTTAGCAATCATTGGAAATATTTGATAAACCATTTCAGGTCTTAATTGATTGTTCACGCTTACAGTGGCTTTCAGACAGCATACATTAATTTTTCATCTCCCCCCTCCTCTTTTCAGAACATAGATGGACTAGTCCTTCTAAATAAACTGCCAAATCGCTGTGCGTGGCGCAAACGTTTTAAATAAATAAATAAATAGCCCGTATTAAAATAAATGTATGCAAACCGACACACCTGATGACGACCGTTTGTGTTATGGTCGAAACGTCGTGAGAATTTTTTATTGTTTTATATATTATTATTTTATTGTTTCCCTTCAACGTGACTTTACCGAAATAACTAAGAATATGAGGTGTAATTTATTATTCATGGCATTGGCACAGTGTAACACTTGTGCATTGCAGAAAGTAAGACCTGGCTTCGATTCCTGACTCGTGTGCCTCCTGTGTGTGGAGTTTATATGTTTTCCTGTTCTGTAAGGATTTTCTCTGGGTTCTCTGGTATATTTCCATAACTAAAATCATTCATTGGTGTTGGCCAAACATCCCAATACCACAACTCTCAGTCGGGCTTTCTTGAGTAAATAAATAATTATTCTTATTTTCATGACTTCTGTTCAATGTCATAGCAGTTTCAATGTTGGTTCTTGTGTTACTAAAGCCTGCCATGCAATTGAAAGAAAGTAGTTGATAATTATTAATAATTTTGTTATTTCTCTCAGTGTGCTATCAGTATATTCACACAGTTGTGTGGATTTTCTTTGTGTTTAAAAATGTCCCACATGAGTAGCAAGCACATAACTACTTCTGAATTATCTCAAATTACTCTTTATTCACTTACAAGGGCATGCACTACCCACACGGCCTGGTGCGGAGAAATGTTCATCGTATGGCAGTCAAACACATTTTTGTCATGGCTGGAATTTTTATAAATTAAAATGATGAATGCAAATAGATGCAGCAGTGGCAGGGCTGAGGCTGAACTCGCTCTGGTTCAAAACCAGTTTCAACCACTGACTGCCGAAATCCTTACATGAACCCAGGATCTCAGCAGTGCTGGTCTAGAGCAGTGAGGGCAAATTTCATTTTTAGAGTAAATGTGCAATCAACTTTTCACCTGCTCTCACAGTCAATCAGTCAACACTTTATTTAAGTAATACGGCTTTTCTAATATCAATGCCCCTGCTATAATTGTTCAATAACTAAAAAATTCCATTCGAATAATTAAGCAGGTTAATTTTCGTTTGTAAATGCCATGCTAAACAGGTGGATTTAAACAAAAAGGCTTGGGACTGGCATACATTACCGTATTGGACAATATAGAGAGTTCCACATGGAAGCAAAAGAACAGGCCCCAGATGTTTGTAATTCTTCCCTGGGAATTTCTAGCATCCGCCTCATTGGTGGTTTTAAGCAGTATGAAAAAAGTATACCTTTTAGGTGACATTGTCCCCTCATGATTACCTCACCCCAGTTTTAAATCTCCTGTCACAGCCACTATCTCTCATTTTTATGTGCAGCAATAACAACATCTGTACCATCAGAGGCAATATTATGACACCAGTGCCTTGGACTGCATTGGTTAGGATTCGCTCGTAAGTTGTTAGAACCCAGGTCGGCTCAAAGTTAAGTATTTGTTTTTCATGACCCGTAGTGTCATTGACTTGTGCCACATGACTGAACGTAACAACCCTCAGACGGTTGAGGGGCTGACCCACTTATGCACCACGAGGAGTAGCAGCTGCCTGCTCTCCACTGTCACGTAAGGGTTGCGAGCTCCACGCCGGTCCGTCCGTTGCCGTTGCGTGTGACGAGAGCACCGCTATTGCCGACAGCTGCGCAGACGGAGGCTCGTGCCTTTTGATCTTAACTTAATTGGAAACGTTTGTGTTTTTGCCGTCTGTCGAGTGTGTGCGCGCTTCCCAAGAATTTGGAAAGCGCAAGTGAGCGTTGACGGTGGTGGGCGACGGCACGTGTTTGTGTGCTGCTGCTTTGCCAACCGACCTATGCGTTTGTCACTTCGCTGCGGTAGTTTTAGAGGAACGAAACGTGTGAAAGTTGGAGCTTTGCTGCAGCCTGCCGCGGTGCGCTCGGAAGGCTGGCTATTCTTCGTGGCTTGGGTGTTAACAGACGTGTAACCTAGCACTCTGATGCTATGCATTACAATAAAAGAAAACCCTTAAGGCCATGATGCAATGGGCAATTTTTCAAGCAATTGTCAGCAATAGTGCATTTATTATGAGCAACTATGTCAACTTGGTATAGCAGTGGTCTAGATGGATGGGATTTTTCGACAATGACTGAGAAGTTTACAACTGCCTGGGTTTTTGCAGTTGTGCTGTGTACAGCTCTCCGATGTATTTTTCGGGTTGGACCGCGTGTTGTTGTTCAACACGATGTCCGACATTTCGCTGCACGTGCTTGGAGCTTCTTTGGGGACACACGCGGCACAACCCGAAAATATATCTGGAGAGCTATGCAGCAAAACCACGAAAACTTACGCAGTACACTTATAACCTGTTTAACAAGCAGATGGAACGGCATTTTTTTCTGCCGCCCTAAACGGCAAATGTCAAATGGAGCGCGAGGGATGCATGCATGCATGTTTTAAGCCTTCACGGAGGAGAAAATGTCGATGAGTTGGCTTCATTGTCAACAGACGCCTGATGCAGCTGTGTGTGCTGTGTTTAACCGGCGCTCTGGTAAATTTGTGCAATCCGGACTTAAACGGACTTCGGGGATTAGTGTGTGGTGGACACGTGTCCCAAGGAGAAGTTGTTTTTTACATGTTGACTAACCGGTAAGATATGGCCTGAATTCGGTGAGCTGCTTGGGATT